ATTATTTATTATTTTTTTCCTCAAATAACAACATATTGCCCGAAAATTATTATCCTAATAAAAAGGAAGTATCAACTTGAATTGAAAAGAAAAAAATTATTATAACGGTAAATAATATTCACTAAATAGGTGATTGTATCAAAGTACCTAAAATATTAAATACTATTCAAATTCAATCAACATCATTGGCTAATTATTTTTGTTTTTACTGTCTCAAAAAAATGTTATTTCTTTTTTTAAACTGAAGCAAAACTTTTCGTAATTAAAAATAAAAATTGCAATTTCTAAAAAAATAAAATGGGATAACCCTACTAAGTAATTACCCAAAGGAAAAATTATAAATGTAATAAAAGGTCATTAACTACAAAGCAGGTCTACCTTTGTAATTTAATCGAAAACACTTGAGTCTATTTAACAAACATACTTACTACATGTTTTTCATTCGACTGTCTTCTGCTTCTGTAAAGGTTAAAGTATTAATTATTTATTTAATTGAAGTGCATATATTGTTTATTCAGTTCACAGAACACACAATAACTTGTACGCCGTTCGTTTCACTTGGTAATACTTATTGTAATCAAGTGGATTTTGCCTTGGAATGAAAAAATTTACACGTATTAAAACGGAATACCAATGGGTCTCTCTAGCTTTTGTTTTCCTCATTAAGAAGATTCATTCGAAACTCATTAAATTATGCAAGCGATTACATAACAAGATGTTATTAACTGTTATCGTTAGTAAGAAGTTTATAATTCTATTTCCAGTACACAATTTCTCAATTGTTTCTGATAATAATGATGAATATTTTATATGGGATTTTCCTCCACCTATAAATCGTTACTCATCCATCAATCGAACTGCCCATGGTGTTATCATTAAGCACACCCATAAGTGTACTATCCTATCCGATAAAGGTTTGTTTGTTTGTCGAATAGCACTAAATATTTAAACAAGAATAACAAATTCAACAACACCTTTCCCTATTTCGAAAATAAAAAGGAAAAAACAAATATTGATTACGAGTATCATCAACGAACGATGCCATTAAAAAGAAAACGAAAAAAACTGTGGACTATATTTTTATTTAAAGCATACTGAAAAAATCAACAAATCTTATAGTTACAATACAATTAAAAGAATACGACCATCTGTAAGACAAATATGTAGGTAATAGGTAAATAACAAAATAACTTACAGAGACCGAGTTGTCAATCAACTTACAAGATTTGGATTGCACCTATATAATATTTACAAGTTTATCACAGCAGAACAAATGGACGAACAATGTCATACGAAAATTTCGACCATTTTCAGGTGAACGAACACAGCAGCTACTATTATGGATGAACAGCCGCCCCTATTCTCTGACCATATACAGAATATGGAGAGTAATATGGACCTAACGTTGTAGGATTGAAAGCGCTGTAAGGCGATGCGGCTAAGGTAGTTGGTAAACTCGGTTTTGCGTAAGGATGATACCTAGCGGCAGATAAAGGACTGAGAGGTGGATTCGGATAGCCAGCTCTATGAAGAGCGGCTGAAGAAAACAAAGAATGTTGATTCAAAAGGGCAGAAGCGGTTGAGGAAGCGACAGATGTTGGATCAGATCCACTAGTGTGTGTTCTCAAATGCTGAAGAAGTTCGTCGGATGTTCCAAACCGTTTTCCGCAATACGTATCACCCGCAATCCAGTTACAAACGTATGGTCTTCCCAACTGGGGATAGGCCAACGAAGTGGGTGGAACCGGACCAGGAGGCACTAATGACATCGCTGCCATTGCTAAGTTGTACTTCTGATGATCGCACTGAGTGCACCCGCTGGGACATGGTCCCGTTGCACCGTTCATCAGCAACTGCTGATTGTGTAAACTGAACTGACACCCAGTACAATACGGATCTTTGCACACTGGCACTAAGGCCTCGCCGCCCGACGGAGTCTTAACACGCGCATAACTCAAATACGGAACTTGTGTGGCACTAGCGTATCCGGCGGCTAACATTGCCGCATGATGTGAGAATTGAGCACCAGGAAACGGAGGTCTGAACGCTGGATTGGTATGTTCTAGGCCGGGAGGGCAACACAGAGCACTTAGAGGTCCGCCCAGTCCTGATCCTAAACTGCCTGGTTTGAACGTACCCAATGGTAGGTCTTTTGGATGTCCTTGCAATATTTCTAATCCAGACCTGATTATGGGACTCGCACCCCGCTGTGGCGGAGATGAAGACTTCGGCCCATTGCTGCTGGATCTTTCTACTTCAGAAACAGGTGTAGACGATTGTTCTGGAGATGAGTTTGAAGGAGAAGTAGATTTTCTGTTCGGAGTGGAACTTCGAGACTTCTTCTCTTCGTCCACAATGTTTGTTTGAACATTAGGTTTGGACGATGGCCTCTTCTCGTCGCATTTCTTTGACAAAACCGTATTTTCGTACGGTTTAAAGGCTAATTTTGTATCAGAAGGGCTACTTCTCGAAGCCGTTTTCTCATTTTTATCTTTTGAGTTCGCGGATGGAGAACGATTAGCTCCATCATTTGAGGAACTCTTTTTAGGCTTCTCTAATGCGGAAAGAAGAGGCTTCGATGACGGAGAATCCGCACCGATTTGACTGCATGTTTGGGCTAGAAGTGCCAAGGGACTTTTCTTTGCATCCAACTGTAATTAAAAATTAAATGTTGCAAAATTTGGAGAGAGCAAGAAAACTGAAGCGAAAGTCTCAACTTCCAATTGAATGAACTGATACTAACCGTTGTTGGCAAAGGAGACAGATAATCCGGTTGAAGATACTGATTGCCAGGGGCGGAAGAAAGCATACTGCTTCCGTCTAACACAACCATTTGTATAAACTACACAAAACTAACAAAAAAAACACCGACCGACACAAGATTCTTTTTCGGGACAACTGCACCGCAAAACAACTCGACTCGGACTGTGCGCTCCTTGCCTCAATTCTGACCTTCTCCTAAATGGGCGCATGCGTTGAGTGCCCCTCCATCATGGCCTTCTTCGTTGCGACCGTTCTGTATGACAAAGCCTTAATTCTCTCCTTTTCTATGCCGTCGAATCCTACCACCCAGAGTGCTGGTGACGATGACAAGCAGCCCTATGGACACTTTGTACTCGCCGACACGATACCTGATTTTGAGTGTAATCAGTAGCGCCTGAAAACATGGGACTAAACGACAATCGCACAATGCTGAACACACTCCGAAATACAACAGAAGACCTGAAGCGGATGAGCTATGTCGTTTTCCCAAATAAATCCCGAAAATCCTACCGCGTCATCCAGTTTTATCATTTCTTACAATTCTTGTGTCTCGCCATTCAAACCAATGGAACATAGTGACACTTGTTACCACTGATTGACCTTATGAATAGATTTGTTACAGCCACAAGATAGTGATGCATCAACCCATCATCTCCATCGATAATGAGCCCTTCTTCACTGAAACGTCTTCCATCTAAACATTCTTTCTATCAATGAGGAGACTGGAGAGGATTGACGTTTTATTATAAAAATACATCAGGGTGGAAATCACCTGGGTCCTTGAAAACCCCCTCGAGTGTTAGAAGGCGGCAGACTTGTTGTGGTAGAATAATCATAAACTCATTTATGACAAGGTACATGTTTATTCTGTAGCTGTCAGGACCTTATTGTACGCTTCAAACGATGGCAGGTACTTTTTTATGTTTATGGTCTAGCATCTTGCTGACAAACCGTGAACGTTTGAAGACAAGTTGGCAGGAGGAAACAACAAATTTTAATAAACCTCTCTATTTTGAAGATGCCGTCACAATACATAGGTACTTAACAGCTGCACAAGAATCCCGTCAAGCGGAAAATCCAAAGGAACAATAAAAATTCTTCTATTAAAAAAGGAATTTGTAAGTTTACTGTTTATTGTGCTTCCTTTAAATGTACCTACCCTAAATTATTCCTGTCTCTCGATTCATTGCCCTTTTTCCAACGACCAGTGGACAACAACCCCGGCCGTTTCAGATACAAAAATAGGTATCAATTACGAAGATTCTCACAACTGAGGACAAATCTAATAAAATTCTACCCATAATTTACTACTGTACTAATGGGCTTTGTCACATAAAATCTTTCAACAGTTATCTAGAGGAATTTATTGTTGTAGACGCGAAACGGTGTTTTGTCTATCTGCCATTTAGTGTGTTGTTTACAAGAATTCGTGGTCTACTGGTTTAACCAATTACAACATCAAAAAATATTAACACGCGTAGGTAGACTGTCTAGTAAAATTTAAGAAAAAAACTGTGTAGATATATTTTTGTGTAGGTATCTAAGCAATTAAAAATTAATGGTATAGGTATTCGATGCAACATCAGATGTAGAAAAAAATACTTTTAAATGTCATCACATGATTGACTGAATTACATAAAGCGCTCTTGAGATTTCCTCAATAATCTTATTAAAGTATCTTTGGTCTTTTATCTGTTAGAAATATGTCATAAAATACGTTTTTATCTAATGATCGAAAACGACGATAAGTCGTTATTAACTCTTTTTGTACTTGACATAACCCATCACCTGATTAAGTTTAAAAAACGTTCAGCATCGATCATTTTGTTCATTCTGCAACTTCCTGGAGATTATCGTGTACTCACTGATTCTATTGACTTTTTGATCATGTGCAAAAACATTATTGTAGTAAACTGATTCATTTTTTTATATAATATTCATCATAAGGTTGTCAGTCCTAAGACTGGTTGGACACGCACCTCTTTCCTATCCTGACTCGATCTTCATGCCTGAGAAGGTGTCCTACCAACCTATCTCGCCTATTTCTTATTGACTTCCATATTGAGTCCTCTGTTCTCCTATTTTTTCTAACACCTCTTCATTACTAACCTTCTCTATCCACGGTATCCTCATCATTCCCCTGTAACACCACAACGAACATATAAGGCCCCGTTTAGTTTGATTACTGATTAGGCGAGATCATACATTTTCTGCGGGATTTCCAGGGGGGGAGGCAGCTGCTCTCCCCTGCCCCCCACGGGTAAGCCCATGTCTACCTCTACTCCTCTCAACTCCTTAATGCCTGAGAATGTATCCCACCAACCTATCTCGCCTATTTCTTATTGACTTCCATAGAGTTCTCTGTTCTCCTATTCTTTCTAACACCTCTTTCATTACTAACCTTCTCTATCCACGGTATCCTCATCATCCGCACATAACGCTGCTGTTATAAACAACCGTTTGTATTTACATACGTACCCATGTATAATGTAGTTAAGAATCCTTTTGTCGATATCGTTTTTTACAAATGAAATTTAGCCGCAAGTTGATCTGATCGAATCAGTTATTGCAATGGCATCAAAAATGTGTTACGGTACGGTTGCTATAGAACTAAGAAGATTATCTAAGCTCAATCTGAAATCGATTGGTCGACAAAAACTTAGTGGATCCGTTACAGGTCCATATCTCATTTCGAGTATCTTCTTCGGTTGCGATACGATAGTCGCATCACGTTCGTCCACATTCCCCCAAAGGAATGCCCTGATCCACAACAGTAGCTGGCTGCATTCAATATTTTGATCAGTGCCACCGGATCGATACGATCATCGATCGACGTCAACCTATCGAATTACATCGAATGGGCACAGTTAAATTACTCGCACATACTGTTTCATTTACTACTATCGATCATCTTTGTAATATAACTGATTTCAGACTCATATCCATTGGAGGAATCCTAAAGGATACACTTGAATGTTTTATACAATTCCTTTTATTTTATCAATACCTAAACATAATATTTGACAAGTGTATCAAATTACTACGCCGGAAGGTAGGGCGGAAGGTCCTCTTCAGCGTCCTTTCAGGAATCGTGGGATTAGGTGGGTGGTGGTTCGGGTGAGAAAGATGAAACGGACGAAATGAAGATAGAAAAGAATGAAAGATTACCTGTGGAAGATTACCGCCCCACCATTTGCCTAAATGATCCAAAGAAACCACAGAAAAACTTGGACCACGGCAGATGGGTCCGGAATCGAACCGACGTCCTCCTGAATGTTAAGCAATGGTTTAAACCTCCAGGCCATGCCGCTCGCTTGGAGGCCTTCCTCTGAATCCTAATCATTATATATATTTTCCTCTTTTCCGCGCTTCTTCGCCCTTTTCCAATTGTCCTCCATTGTTGAGCATGCAGAACCATGAACGAGTTGAGTTTTGATCAGTCGGGCAAATAACCTGAGCCCTTCTAAAAGGCAGAGACATAGGAAACCGCGGTTGTTGTAGAGCGGCTCTTTTGATTCTTTATTCGCAGCGACTTCCATCACTGTCGACGGCCGTCAATAAATCAACGTTGGCACTGACGACGGCATTGACGATCAAGAGAAGAGTTTGGGCGACTAGCGTCGCTTAGGTCGTTTCGATCTTTTTGCGCGACTTTGCGCCCAGATCCAATTATTCGAAGCGGCGGTCACTTTTTTTGATCGCCATCAACCACCGAATACGAAATCAATGGAAACTACGAAATTTTGGTATGTCAGAATCGTCCAGTTGCACTTAACTGTACTTATGTCTAACTAAAGCATTTCGGATACTTTTTGGGATCGATATTGGTGAAACCAAATGCAAAATATACAGTGTAAACTCTATATAACGACACTTGAGGAACTGAACATTTTTCGACGTTTTAAAAAGAGTGGTCGTTAAATGGAGAGAAATAAAAGATATTATGATACTATTCTATAATAATATGCATTTACCAATATAGTACACATTTTGCACACGAACATTATTATTCATACATTGCGTATAGCCTGTTATCTTCGTCTGATGTTTTTTGCTGCTCCAATATTTTAATTGTATTTTGTTACGTATCTTACTCATATCTTAAGATACTGCTGGATCAATTTGATTATATAAAAAGTATTTTTTTAATAGTTTCGCTGCATCAAGTGCTTGTTTGATGCTTGGTGGAGGGACAGGATCGTCTTCTTCGACAACGTACACAGCTGCAGTTCTTATCTATTTCGGCAACTTAGAAAGTACTGCTTAATGACTTATAATGCCGCATTGTTGTCGTTAAATAGAGTGAGCGGGACGCTATATAGAGTGTAATATTGTATAGAAAACAATGTAAACCAACCAGTCAAGCAATTTCGACGTTTCAAGGAGTTCGTCGTTAAATCGAGTGACGTTATAAAGAGTTTACACTGTACCTTGAAATGGATCATTCAGATTCCAACTACACTACCTAAACATATGCAAACATTAAAAACTGTTAAATCATCTCAATTTAACAATTTGCTACCGTTTAAACGACAACAATAAACGACAATTAAGGAAATAGAAAAGGCATCGATTACTTTTTAATCAATGTTAGTTGCATATCATTAATGCATGCAGTACAATCATAAATCTTGTATTGGATTATAGTTTGTTGTCGGTCGCGGAGCAGTTTATTCATGTTCCATGACACCTGTCACAAATCGTAATGGACAGCGTATTAATTTAATACCGTTACGTTTGAACTTTCAAGTGTTTGAAATGCTATTAATTAGTCCCAATGACCACGACAATTACATTTATAGTTTGTAGGTTTCGGAAAAGAATTCAGCAATTAACAATTACTTCGAAGTCTGTTGTTCGCCTTATCTGTTATCTGTATTGTACACACTTATATGTGTACCGTTGCTCGGTTATTACACGTGTATAAAATCGTTACTTACCGCTAAAAGTAAAAGTTGTTTCAGCGCATTGAAATTAATTTATTTTGAAAATATGTGCCTATGTGAATAAGCACCTGTTTAATACCATGACACAGAAAGAAAACTCAGTAATTAATACAATAATTGCTGTTACCAACTGCGATAAGCTATTAAAATGTCAAGAAGACTAAATTTATAATTAGTTTTGCATGTTTAATTTACGGTTCCATTATACCTCATTTGTTTTAATTAGATTGTTATGTTTAATGGCTTTCAATTAAA